CGCGCACACACACACACACACACATACACACACACAGACACACACATACACACACACACACACACACACGCACAAACATGCGTAAACACACACACACACACTTTCTCTCTCTCTATCCCTCTCTCTCAAGAGTTGTCATGTATTCATGTATACAGGTTCATTTTTTTTTTTCAGATCTAGTTTGATCTTTGAATGTGTGGGTATAGCACTCCACAGCCTCTGAGCTATTGCAAACATTGTTTCCTTTTTTTTTTTTTTTTCTCGACATGGGCAGGCAGCTTCAAAGGAAGTGTCTGTGACAATAGAGACAATTCAATAAAGGCTGCCTGGCTGGATGAGAACAGTCAGACATGAGTGAATTTCTCAGTGCAGAATTTGTGGAGCGACACATCGTCTCTCTTCCCAACCAACTTATTCCTGAGCCATGGAATCTGGAGAGACATGGAGTTTTTTACACTCTGGACTTGAAAATGTGCCAGTTGAAAACTTTTGACTTCGATTTCAGATGGGGAGATGACAGGTAAATTTGTTTACATTTATATGGAGATTGTTAATATGAGATTAGAAATGACTGAGAAGAAATGTATGCTCCACACGAAAGTTTTTCTTCCAGCTTTAGACTGAAACGGGAAATTTTAAAAAGTATATTTTACTTTTATAATATGTAGTTGCTCTTCTCCTTGTACATGAAAAGTTTCTTCCTTTTTTATTGTGTTTTCTCCCAGACTCTCTCCCTCACTTTCTCTTTGGCATTCTCTCTCTGTTTCTCTCTGTTTCTCTCTGTCTCTCTCTCTCTCTCCCCCTCTCTCCCTCCCTCTCCCCCTCTCTCCCTCTCTCTCCCACTCCTCCTCACTTTGCACCCCCGCTTGCTCTCATACCTTTTGTTGTTGCCCTTTTCACTCCTCACACCTCCCCCCCTCTTTATCCTTCTGTCTCTTCCCATCTCTGTCTTTTCCCACCCCCCTTCCTCTCGATTTTTACCATCCTTCTCTTCTTCATGTATTTGTTTACATTGTACGTCTTTGTTGAGTTTGAAGATCTGTATGAAATGTTCATACAATATGTGCATGATTGAGTTACTTGTGAATGTAGAAAGTCAGAATTAGCGAGAAAGACTGATGAATACACACAGTGAAACATTATAACCTATGGCTAAAGTAATGATGCTCTATCTATTGATTTTTTATATTTGTGACTGCTTTTCCAGTCACATGAAATATTGCATCCTCGTGTGTTTTTTCCAAAGTGTGCCAGCACCACGGCTTTCTTCTGTCCTGGAAACCCCAAGCAAAATTGTTCGCCTGGATGTCTCGTTGAATGAGTTAACTTCCCTCTCTCATGATGGGCTTCTCCCTTTCCGCAACCTACGAGCTTTGGACGCTTCACTGAACCAGCTCAAATAGTAAGCTCTGATGGTTTATATCACTATCAAGAAAAGAAGTTCTTATAAATGTTGTATATTTGTGTAGGTTTCTTTTTTTCTATTTTGAGGTTGTTGATTTGTTCCTATTTTTTGGTCGTGTTATGTTTTCCTTTGTGATGCTGTAGGTCCTACTTCTTTATTTGTTTCTGTCTTCTGGTCTCCCTTTTTCCTTGCACTTAATTAATGTTATTGTGTCAGTGTGCTTTTCTTTACCAAGACTCAACGTTCTCGCAGTTGCCAAGGATTGGCAGTGTTTCGTAAGAAATTATGTTTCACCCATTGTTATGATTGTTATGAGTGATCAGTTTGATATTATGCCTCCATGAAATTAGTTTTTCTCTAATGATGGGTATTTAACTTTGTCTTTTAGTTGCACTTGACCACTTTGGTTAGATAACAAAGAAAACATTGACTGGGACTTGCCCACGAATGGATTATGTCCACTGCTCAGTGTAAAATTCCATCATACTTCATTTTTCAAAGTGGTGTATGATGGAATCTGACATTGAACAGTCAGTGTAGTATGTTAATGTACTCATATCTTAAAGGACATGCTCTAGTGGAGAATTTTTTTGTGGATGGTTGGCTGGTGTTCTGGTGGGGCTCACTCCTCCTTTCCTATCAAACGTCTATCATCCTGATCTCTCTATCTTCATTTTTGTGTTTGTTAGTCTCTTTTAACACCTGTAATCTTCGGCACTTAAATGACTTTCCTGTGTTTCAAGTACCGTAAAACTCTTACTAAAACTACAACTAAAACGAAGAAGAATGTATAAATTTGTCTGTCAGCTTCCAGGGTGTGGAAGTGTTGCGTAACCTGTACAGCCTGAACCTATCCCACAACAACCTGCGGAACGTGGATGGGTTGTTACAGAGCCAGTCGCTGGGAGAGTTGAACCTCAGCAACAACAACATCAGTGACATCTCTGCCATCCCGAGCCTTGTCAACCTACGTGTCTTCAACATCAGCAATAACAAAGTGAGACCTGTCATTTTTCAAAGAGGGCATTATATGATTTTTCAAGAAACAGCTTAAAAAGAGATCAGTTAGAAATTAAGATTCTTCTGATCTTGTATCTTTCCTTTCCAACAGTTTTCATATTTAATTTTTTTAAAATAAGGCCTTAAAAGATTAATTATCAACAACAGCAAAAATACCCTTTGACTGATCACTCAATATTATCTGTGAAGTCTTTGTACTCCTTTGTGCTTCTTACATGATAGTCTTTTGAACAGAGTTATATAAACACTCATTGCATATAATTGCCAAGAGAAGCTTTGTAAGCATTTCTAGCCATTAACTTTATTAACAATATTCTAATTTTTTTTTCCCCCAGTTGGAAAATCTTGAAGGAGTCTCTTCTTTTCCACGTCTTGAGGACATCAATGCAAGCAATAATTTACTGGTAAATTATTGGACAACGAATTTGTTTAGTGATTACATTTGATTGTTTTGGTGTTTACATTTGAACTTGATTGTTGACACAAGCAGTCAGATAGACGTGTCAGCAATCGTCTGCTATTCGTTGAGAATTGTGATAGCTACAATTTCATACAGTATAGGATCCTGTCATGTCTTTACCTTTTATTTTGTTTCTCACAAATTTTTGCCTGCATTCTTGAGGCATCACTTTTTTCTATCAGGTTTGAACTGACAACTTTTTTTTTTGTTTGTAAAGATTTTGTCCGACTCGAGAAAAGATATATGTGTATTATTTTTTAAAAATCTTTTAACTAGTTACACATGCTATTTCCAGCTAGAAGGTCAAGAAGATGGTACTTGTGGTCAATGGACTATGACTTGGCATGAAATTGACACAGCTCAAAATTTTAAAACTTTAGAAATCAACATTTAATTTGTATAGCATTTTAGAAATTGTTTGAACTAAAAAATCCCGAGAAAGAATAACAATGAACAGGTTTTTCCTGAGTTGCTTGTTTGCTTGTTTGCAGTCATTTAAGCTTTCCATGAGGGTCATTGAGGTTGTGTTTATTGTATGTATTTGTATCACGGCATGGTGGAATCAGGCGCCCATCAATTTTTGGGCATGTGGAGTTATTGGTTTCATTTGATACCTGATATATTTGCCTTGCTTCTTATGAAATAAATATCCATTTATCTTGAATAGAACTCAAGATATTTGCAATTGACGGAAGTGAGGTTGCCTGGTTTCAGCGCTGAAATTAGCGAGAAAATTGCCGCGAAAGTTTGTAACTCTAACAGCTCAAGACTCTTGGAAAACTGAAAAATGACATATTCTGAGCAATGTTTTTCTGTAAAATTCACATGGAAATCTGTTTTTATTCGGACATAAAAGGTCCTGAGCCAAAAAAAAAAAAAAAAAGTAGTCAAACTAGAGGAAAAATGCCAATAGCTTCTCTTTCATAATTTTGATGAGCACCTGATTTCACCACGATGGCTCACATATTGTTGTCAGATTTGCAGACTTTCTTTACTCCAAAGGCCATGGAGGAAAAGGGATATGTGACCTATCTCCACTAAGAACAGTGAAGTTTGGAGTTAAATTAGTCAACAAAATTAAGCAAACAAACAATACATGTAGGCCTAACTAAATGCAATCAAAAAAACTTTAAATTCTTTTCTCTTCCTTTTGTTGGTGTTGCAATTTTAATCGACCTCAGTTAAATCATTAACAGGACGTTATTTGAAAGGACAAGCCCCCCCCCCCCAAAAAAATAAAATAAAAAAGATAAAAGTGAATATCACCCCACTCCCATCACCTTTCCATTTCTCAACAAATCTATCCACACAACAAAAAACTTCATCAAAGCCAATTTTCAATTGCAGAGAGAATTGGTCCCTCTCACAAGTTGTCTCCAGCTCCGAGTGGTCACTGCCTCAAACAACAGGGTTAAGGACCTGGACTCTGTGCTCCGACTGGTTTCCCAGCAACGTCATATGCAAGTTCTCAACCTCAGTGTAAGGATTTGCTTTGCTTAGTTCACAGGACCAAGAAATTATAGGGTTTTTTTTTTTCAGATCGGTACGTTTGTTATAAATTAGATAGATGAATGGATTGATGGATGGATGGATGGATGGACGGACAGATGAATAGATGGATTAATTGAAAAATTTTTTTGGGTGTAAACATATATATATATATATATATATATATATATATATATATATATATATATATTTCAGGGCAATGGAAAGAGATCGCACATATCAGTCGGATATTCTGAGAGCTGCCAACCTCATGACCCTCGACAATGTTTCAGTTCGACCTATGCCTCCTGAGGCGGTGAGTAAAGACTGTATACTTTTGTCATGAAGATTTACAATTTTTCTGTATTTCCATTTTATATACAAGTACTTCGTGTGTGACCGTAAATTCAGAGCATTTTGGAGTACATGTATTGCATTAAAATTCCCAAATATACCATAATATCAAAAGCTCAAATCTCTTTTCTTTTATAGTCAATAAAAAACAATTTTTTTTCTCCCTTCACTGATAATCATTGTTAGGCTGAAGATCTTTTACTTTTATAGGATGTACTGGAACATCTATGATTTTAAAATTTTAGGTTTGGGATTATCTCATACTAAAGGGTACCGGTAGTTTAAGTGTTATATATTTTCTTGCTTCTGTTTACGCAAGCCAAGTGCTGATGAAGGCCTGCGTGTAAACTTAAATACTTATGCTCTCTCTCAGTGTGTATGACTTTCATTTCTTATTTGCTAGGTTGATAGGAAGAGATTTAGTTTTTCATTCACCATATATTTGAAGGAAGGTCTGTCAATTCTCGTTTGTCATATTCATAAGGCATATTATCGGACAGCTAGCTTTTTAGATGTACTAAACGTATGATTTTTTAATTTGCAATTCCTTTATGTGTGGTATTGGTTGCATGTGCTCAAGAAATATTGGGTCAAAATCTAAATTTTAAATTTTGACAAAAAGCAAGAAAGAATGTGTAATGTAGGTACAACTGTTAAGGGAATGAAACAGTTTTTTCTCTCTCCTAAAAACTTTGGCTTATCGGGCAAAGCACATTTAAACAGCTTGTTAATATTATGCTCTATCTGTGTATGTTCAAGTTTCATTTCTCATTTGTCATATACATAGAAAGAGCTCATATTGTTAATTTGTCATATATATTCATAGGAAGATTTTTCTTTTCTCATTTGCCCTAACCACAGGAAGATCGACAGCGACATGCTGGAAACATGAACACTCTACAAGGTGCTGCCAAGCAAGCTTTTGATGAGAGAATGAGAGTAGCTAAAGACAGAATGGAGGAAAATATAAGCTTTTTACAGAGAAGGATCCTGTGAGTTTTCAAACTTTCTTAATGTTGTGAAACTTTAAGGAAACTGATAAACAGAAACTTTCTTGTCATTTCTACTGTGAATTTATCACAAATTACTTTCCCTTTTTCCTCAACCAAGTGTTGAATACCCTACATTTTTACACATTAGTGTCTGTCGCTATAGCATTTAGGTGCTTCACTATTCACCAAATTAGGTAAAACACCTTTTGGAAAAAAATGCAAATTTATTTTGTATTATCTTCTAGAATTGCTCCAAAAATATTATGTAGACTGGGTTTGTTTTTTTTTTGGGGGGGGGGGAGTCTAGTTTTTTTTAAATACTTATTATGGTATCACCATTTATAATATTGATTTTAAATAGCATGATTTCAGACAAAAGAAGTGTCTGGCCTAATTTGGTAGATACATGAGTAGAGTCGGACACTGTTGGTAGGCCTATCTGGTTAAGCTGTGGGATGAAAATAATATTTTTGAGTAAAGGATTTGTGCAGGTGATGGGGTTGGGGGGGGGGAGGATTGTTTGGGATTATTTAGATGATAAAATGTTTGGGATCATGGTTATGTCCAGTAAACCACAGTTTCTGCTATAGCAGAACTAATCTACTAATTACAATGAAGTCAGATAGAAAAGTTAATTGTTCGCATTCTATTCTGGTTCCCCCAGGTCAATTCAGAATGAGTACAAGGAATTTGAAGCAAAACTTAAGGCAGATCTCGAAGCTTGTTTACGGTGAGTGAGGAAGCTAGTGGTAAAACAGAGGTCAAAAGAGGCAGAGACAAACTATGAACAACTTATTAGCTTGATGACCTGAACAAATGGGTGACAGAAAAAGAGTCGGATGATATGGCTCATTTGAGAGAACCTGAGCAGAGGAATTTATAGCGGCACTCCATGGTTGTTTAGCCAGTTGCTACCTTAGAATTACAAAGTTCTATCAGACATTTTTTAGCTGTTGTGAATTACTAAGACCATGAGGTCAAAAACCAAAAGTTTTATCCGGTCTATCAAAATTGTAAGATTATTCAGAGTTATTACTGAGATATTCAAAGGACTGCGTTCAAAATAGCTTGACATGTTGTGAAACTCACAACATTTGACGTCAAATTTCTCAAAACTAGGTACTGATCGAGCTGATAAAACTTTGTAATGCTATTGTAGTGCAGTGTCTGTTTCAGATGTGGTACTGTAAGAAGGAGAAGAAGGAATAAGATTTGATTTGATTTTTTCCCCTTTGCCCATTTTAATCAAATTGTTGCCATATGAAAAAGGTGCACATGATAGTGTTGGGTATTAACATTATTATTGTAACATGTTAGTCTAATTTATAATAATTGTTTAATACTGTAATCAAACTTTTATTTCTAGGTGGAATGTCCGAGATCCTTCACTTTTCATTTTGTGCTCAAATGCCATACATATTAAAAACACGCATTGAGTATGTTGGTAATATTTAGCAATTACAATCGAGGCTTTAGAAATCGACATATTATACTGACATTGATGATGACAGAACTGTTATAAATAGAGATTCAAGGAAGATAAATGTGGCAAGGAGCTGAGAGCAAAGATGATTTCAAATATGATGGTGGTAGTGAGTGATGTTTTGAGATGGTGTATATGTAAATGATTATTGAGAAGACAAGCGTTCACACACTGTCAGCCAGTTGTTTTGGATGTTAACCTTAGTTCTATCTTCCTCTGCTTCAATGAGTCATGAGGGACTTGGGCAACCTCTATCCCGTTTCCGACTGGAATCATCTTTAAAGTAGTGTAAAGCACACAGAGCTTGCTTTCGAGTGGGGACATGCGCTCTACAAATGCTATTTATTATTATTATTATTATTATTATGTCACCAAAAAGTTCCGAAATGGTCGGCACAGTCTCTGCTAAGGTGACCTTGTTAGTGTTGTTAGCCTATTCTATTTGGCCAAGACAAGTAAGGAGACAAGGAAGAGGGAGGGAGGGAAGGAGATTGTATGTTGAGTTAAATGTTAATAGATATGGTTAGCAGGGTGCTGAGGAAATGCTTTATACTATAGAGACTTGCCATCTTTTCTCCCAAACAAGGCGTCCATTAACTTTGTCTAATGGGGCTTTAAACAGTGTTACAATTCAATGGTGTAACTACAAACTATATATCTAAAAAGAACATTACCTCTTCCACCTGTTTCATTCAAATTATTTGTGTAGAGCTGTAACCAGGATATGAATACAATATTCTCACCTCCACAAGAGCTATGGATGAATCTTAGGAAAAACTTCTTGAAAAAAGAACATGAATGACATGCTGTTTGTTTGTTATGTTTTCCCAAACATTGTGCAACATGTTTGATTAAAGATTGGAAGGATGATACATTTTGTGCCTTTGAAAAGCTCTGAGAGGAAGGCAGCTGTTGGTTTTTGGGTTCTTTTCAAGAACAAAAGGAAACCTACTGCTACTAATACTATTGCTCATAATCGCATTCATCATGGGCCTCAGTGGCTATCTGAAATAAAAAGGATTTTAAAATGGGGAAGGCAAAGACGAGATTCTTGTGTGGCCGTTATGTGCAAGACTGTACCTATCAGCAACATCCACTCCGAACTTATTTTACCAAAATTCTTACTGCATACTGAACCTGGTCACATCCCAAGACAATTCGTCACAGCTCCCAATTGTTGCTACTATTACTACTAAGTACCTGACGACTTTCAACACTCATTTTTTCACATGCAACTGCTGCACACTCTGTGTGATCCTGTGTCTTATTCTGGTTCAATAGCTGTGTCCATGTTCTTGGTAGGCTATTAATTAGAGCATAATAATCAAAGTCGAAACCTGTATAGTTTCCAAATATGTGCTTCATTTCTTCTTTTCTTTTTACCAATCCCCTGTCATAAACCTGGTAAGTGTGTTTTATTCCACTTTTCATCCAGTGTTTCAGAGAAAGGAGTTTACGTTTGTAGCTTATCTTTTTGTCATTGAAGAGTGGCTGTGTAAGAATGTCAGTCTCTTCATTGACCTGAGTTTCACAAAGGGCCTACCTTTTTTTGCACATCAAGCCATGCTGTTATGACAGCTATCCAAAATTTAGATGCACCAACTGGCTTGATCAGGTGCTTATGGCTAATAGATGTTTTGTAAAAAGCACTTTAGACCACCTAGTTGATAAAATATCTTGTCTATAATTTGTAACTCGTCCCGGGCTGAACTTTCGTTTGTTGCTAGAAACTTCAGCCACTTCAGTAGGAACACTTTTTGTTGGTCGCACACCCTGATGGTATCTAACCCCCACTTTTCTACATCCTCGCACATGATTTGTCCTTTTAAACTTCTCCCTTGCCTCTCTGTTGGAGAACTTTTTCTGCTATAAAAATTTTAAAGACATTCTGTTAGTGTAGCCAGTGACCTTGTCAGGCCAAAATAGAGCTTTTGCATGACACACACATACACACGCACACATACACACACACACACACACACACACACACACACACACACACACACACACACACACACACATATATGTGAAACGTGCTGACAAAATGAGTTATTTCTTGGATTCGAGCCATATGGAAATAGATACATCACGCTTATAAGTTTTTTTAAACACATAAGTATGAAATAATAACAGGCATATTACACTTAAAGAATATGGCATCAATAGAAAATCTACAAATTTGACCCTAGTGTTGATTTTTTGGCCAATATCTTCATTTGTGGATTGCGAGAAGTAACTCTTTTTGTCAGCACAGCTCACATATATACATATATATATATATATATATATATATATATATATATATATATATATATATATATATATATATATATATATATATATATATATATATATATATATAAATAAATATGTGAGGCGTGCTGACAAAATCAGTTACTTCTCGCAATCAAAAATGGAGATATTAACTAAAAATTGACACAAGGGACATATTTGTAAATTCTAAACCAATCCCATTCTTTTCAAGTTTTACATTCTTTTATCATTTCATACATGTGCTACATGTAATAAATTGTAAAAAGTCAACCTATAAATTTGACGCATCTATTTCCATCGGCCTAAAATCCGAGAAGTAACTCATTTTGTCAGCACACCTCACATATGAAATTTGCAACAGCAGGAGAATCTTACAATTACCTTTCCATATAGAGTGAAGAGCTTCTTTTTTGCCACAATTTCATATTTTAAATTTTTTTCGTTTTTACCTTTCCAATTTAGATAAGTCTTTAAAAGCCTCCTCATCTGCACTAAAATAGATCCCGTGCATCTTCACTTTTTCACCAGATAGCATTCAAGCAATGTTTCCTGGAGTCTGATCATTATGTTTATAAGTGCTTTCTATCCACATGCCCATTGATTTCAGTTTGTTGAGTTTCAGTCCTGATGGGAGTCTACCACTTTAACAAAATTCAAATCAGCACTTAAAATGCTTTTGTTTCAGTCCAGCTTCCATCTGTAATTTTCGACATTCCCATTACAAATATTGTTATGTTCTCTCAGTATCTATTATGTTCTCTCAGTATCGTTTATTCATGCTGTTCTGTTCTGTAACAATTTATGACTGTGTGATGTCATCAATGTGTACGAGGGTGTCTGGGTAAGTTTTGTGTTATTGTCTTTACTCAAGGATGTACTGGAGAAAGAGAGAGAGAGATAGAGATAGAGTGAGAAAGAGAGAGACAGAGAGAGAGACAGAGAGAGAGACAGAGACAAAGGGAGGGAGAGAGAGAGAGAGAGAGAGAGAGAGAGAGAGAGAGAGAGAGAGAGAGAGAGAGAGAGAGAGAGAGAGATAGAGAGAGAGAGAGAAGGTGTGAGAGAGAAAGAGGATTACTACAGGAGCTGTGCGCTGCATATGTTCTTTGTATTATTGTACAGCGCTTTGAGCACTTCTTTGTGGAAATGCGCTATATAAATGCAATTTATTATTATTATTATTATTATCATTACTTGTTTACTTTCCCTCTGTTGTTCTGTCCGTCTGTCTCACTTTTTCCCAGCTCTTTAAATGACCCTTATTGTGTCGATGTGCTTCTCTTTACTCAAACAAACGAACAAAGAGGTGTCTCATACATACCCATGCCTAATTATTCTAAACATTTGGTGTAAAATACTCATTACTGATTTTAATTGCTGCTGGTCTCTAAAAATATGCAGATTTTTTTTTAGGAACGTTGATTATAAATGCTTGTGACTGTTTTGATGGGGTAGGGGGAAAAGTCTGTGGACTGTATGCATACTGTGTTGACAACAACAACAATATCAACAGCAAGAACAACAACAACAACAACAACAACAACATCAACATCAACAACAACGACAACATCAACAACAAAAACAACAACATCATCAACAACAACAACAACAACAACAACAACCACAACGACCGCCATGGAACAGTATTTCATTCATCTGTGACTGTCTTCCCTCCAGCTACCTTTCATCCCTGAGCGATGCAGAACTTGCCTCGGGCGGCCGTACAACCATCGGGGCGACACTGCCACCAGGACAAAGCTTCTATGAGCCTCCAGATGCTGTAAGTTTCTGTTCAACCTTCTCTCTCTGTCTCACATGCCCTGTTTTAAGGCTGTGTTTATTAAGTTGTCAGTGATAATGATAGCAGGCTACTGATTATTATACATGTTTCAGAAATATTCTCCACAGCAGCTGTATTGGTCATTGTCAGACACTGCTATGTTGTTAGTGTTGTTAGCAATCCGGATCAGACACTGCTAGACAGATTATAATAATTATTGTTATTATTGCTATTATTATTGTTACTATTAATAATAATGATGATTGTTATTATTATTATTATTATTATTATGATTATCTTTTTAATGGGGATTCTAGGAAGAAAGAACAGTAGTCACAGAAAGAACATTGTAGTTGTAGACAAGTATGTTTCTTTCTTAAAGTCTAATGGATTACCCCAGTTTCTCACCTGTGTGGGTGTTTTGAATGAGTCTCCAGTGTTTGATTGTGGTCTGCTCCGATAAAAATTGTTTTGCTGGACAAAAAGAAAGAAGGGTTCCATAAAGCAAGAAATATTTCTTCAAGACAGATGACAAGGACAAAATGGAAAAAGAAATTGTGCTTACTGAAAGTTTATAGTGTTGAAAACTTGGATATAACTAATAAGTAAAGTGGCTTTGTACAAAGGAAGAATTACCTTCTATTTAAACTAAGAGTTAATTGTTCCCACAGGACACATACAGATCTCGAGGAACTCGGAACGACCGCGTTGCAGACTCCAAGGCTGACTACAGTAATGTCCGGGAGACGGATGAGGTAAGGATGACTTTCTCATTTCCAGAGGAGTTTGGGTTGCTGGAACGTTGTGCGGGCCATCAAAAATAGTCTCTCTCCCTTCACTATAATCTCTTACCCAATGATAAATTGCGCTACATAAACAAGCACACTCTCCACAAATACTCTGCTAATTTTCATGAATTAGTTTTTTGCGATTTGCCAAGTTATAGTGCTTAAAAATGTACAGTGGATGTTTTCTTTTGCAAAATATCTCGTTTCCTCCAGAGTGCAAACCATCTTTTGTTTGTGACGTCATAAAATATTCAAGAGCCATGTTACATGACACTCGGGGGGCTGGTTAGAGAGAAGGCTTGTTATAGATTAATTACGTGCATTACTTTTGTCACTGAAGTCAATATCTTATATTAGCCATTAGATGACAACTTCCTTTACTTTCTGATCCTCCCCTAGCATTAATAATTTTTCTATTTGTGCAATGATTGTCACTTCAGACTTCAAGCACTCTTTTTCCAACTGAGTGAAATTGGGAATAAAGGTAAAATACTTTCCCAAAATGAGGGTGCCTTGGTTCTGACCTCATGATTGTTAACAATTTCACCAAATCACCCGTAGAGTACTTTCCCCTAATGTAGGCAATTTTGAAAGTAACTTGCTTTGGTTTTGACAAAAATATCTTAATGAAAGTGTGTCATTTTAAAAAAGAAATGTACAAATCGACTGCTTGGCGTAAGACTCCATCAGACCCCCCAGGGCGGTACTACTGACTGAAGTGTCTTTAGGCCATTCCCAAAGAGGGACTTTACCATGTTCTGTTGCACAGTAGAATTGTAATTGTAAATGGGCTGATACATCAATGTCCTGCTCATAACTGTGCCGGAATCGCAACAGAGAACTGCTGCTTTTTCTTTCCTCACCCTTACTATAATTTTTCCTCTACCTCTTTTGTATGTTTGTAACTTTCTTGTGACCTGCTGTTTCCGGGGTGCCTTGACAGTCAAAGCAGACTTTGTGTTGTTGAAGCTAGAGAGGTGAGGAGAGTAAGTCTGATTCCCTGTAAGGACTTCTCTGTTGACATCCACCCCTTGGCGCTCATATGACCTTATGCAGTTGTGAGCGCCGTAAAACCTCTACTAAAACTAAAACTAAAAGACTCCGTTATACACCACTTTTCAAAATGGCAAAATGTGTGAGGCAGCGTGGTGAAATCAGACACTCGTCAAAATAATGGAAGTGAAGGAACTGGCATTTTGCGACAGGTTTGAGAATTTTTATCAAATTTTTGTTTTTTGGCTGAACACCTTTCATGTCCATTCAAGAACACATTTCTTCATGGATTTTACTTTACTGAAAAACACTGATTAATGGAACAAAAACTGTAAACTTTCAGTCTCCATGGGCTCTGAAGAAATTTGCAGGTCATTTTTTGGGCATATATGAGGCAGCGTGGTGAATCACACCTTCTTCAATTGTGAATTTCTCAACATGTATTCAAGGTGAATGAATTTATTTTCACCAGAAGATAGACAAATGAACAAGCTTTAAGATGATACCAATAATTCATATGCCCAAAAATTTGATGCCCCCACGCTGTGATACATGATGTAGTCTGACTAAGCTGTCAAAACATTAAAACCTCTATATCTACCAACATTTTAAAATTAGCTTTAGGTTTTTTTAAAGATACCGTTCGAAGTCTGAAAAAAATCCCAGAAAGCGAGAGTAAAAGTGAGATAAGGGAGACAATTCTAAATAAGCACATGTTATTTTGTGCAATGTAGATTACTTTCCTTTGTTAAAAGTGAAAACTGTTTGGGTGTCAAGAGATCACTTTCTTCAATCATTATTAGATTCTGTGGTTCAAGGCATGCCTTGCTGATAGTAGTAGTGAATCAGATGGCATTTTTCTTACTTTTCTGTTACTGCAATATATGTGAGGCAGCGCGGTGATATCAGGCGTTCATCAAAATAATGGAAGTGAAGAAACTGGCATTTTCCGGTAGGTGTGAGAATTTTTATCAAATTTTCGTTTTTTGGCTCAACACCTTTCATGTCCTTTCAAGAACACATTTCTACATGGATTTTACTGAGAAACTCTGATTAAAGGAACAAAACTGTAAACTTTCAGACTCCACTGGCTCTGAAGCCAAGGAAATAACTAAATTTTGCCGGTCATTTTCTTTCTCTGAAATCAGATGACCCCCCACCTTCTTCAATCATGAATATCTGAATATGTATTCAAGGTGAATGGATTTTTTTTCACCTTAAGCAAGACAAATGAACAAGCTTTAAGATGATACCAATAATTCACATGCCCAAAAAATCCCCACGTCGTGACTCATGATGTAGTCTGACTAAGCTGTCATTAGATACCATTTGAATTCTGAGAAAAATCCCAGAAAGCGAGAGTAAAAGTGAGATAAGGGAGACAATCTTAAATAAGGACTTGCTATTTTGTGCAATGTAGATTACTTTCCTTAGATAAAAGTGAAAACTGTTTGGGTGTCAAGAAACCATGTTCTTCAAGCATTATTAGATTCTGTGGTTCAAGGCATGCCTTGCTGATAGTAGTAGTGAATCAGATGGCATTTTTCCTACTTTTCTATTACTGCAATATTATTATAATATTATCATGAATTATGATACATATTATTTGTGATTGTATTTATGTAACTTTGTGAGTCAAGTTGAGTTATGGTTTACTTTGCAACAACATTGTGTAATAAACTAATGACAATCATAATAACACTGAAAACCCCCCTGATCAAGCAGATTACACCAAGGTACCCACCAACCACCCTTTAAATGTGAGTGAGTCTGGCATACAAAGTGAAGAAGGTGAATACGTCCTACCATTAAGGGAAGCCTGACATGCTATTTTCAAAATCCGTTATGTGCAGACTTTGCAATTATTTAAGGGCATTATAATATGAGTTTGGAGGTCTAGTATGTTGTTAATGTAGTCAGATGGACTTTAGTTCTGTGCTCCACCCCAAAGCACCCGCCAACCTCCCTTTCTACGTGAGTGAGTCTGGATCACACAGTGAAAGAGCTGAGTACGTCCTTCCATTCATGAAAGATTTGAGAACATTTTACTCGAACCAGTCTACTTTATTCTCTTTCTACAACTTCTACTTTGTACTTCATTTTCTTTTTCCTCTCTTTTCTCTCCCCAGCTTCTATGTTGTGCCTTCAATACATTCTTCTCTCTTCTCTCTCTCCAGCTTCTGCATTATAATTTCAATAATATGTTTTTTCCTCTCTCAAGATTCTGCTTTTGTATTTCTTATACGTTCTTCTTTCTCTCCAGCTTCTGCGCTGTGCTTTCAAGGAACTGGCTAAACAGAAAGACAAAAGTATGCACATCTGACCACATTTGTACACACCAAACCAAGGCCTTGATTTTCAAGACCTGTCTGCAGTTTTGGAGTCTGAGCTGTGAAGACAAAGATGGAGGAAATAACGTGGATCGGTGTGGTCTGAATTGATCTCTGCTAATGTTGAAAAACTATATGGTGGGTGCATATATTGTATATATAAGAATATGTAATTCTAGCCATTTTGGTTTATAATCAGAGCTGCTGAGAACCCAGCTGGTTACAATTGTAGCGCTTTGTTGATGCATGTTGAAATCTTCCTAAAACCTTAGAGTAATCGGTTCACTGTCTTTCAGGTGCACTTAACAGTCTTTGATTTTCTTTGTTTCTATTGCTGAAGGATTTTATAGGTGCAGAGGAAACGGAATAAAACATTTTGTCAGCAGCATTCTCCAATCGCCCAAATCAGTTTCTGTTTTTATTTCAGGTAAAATTCCTGAAAAAAGCCATTGGTTAAGGGTGAATTATAAAGCAGAAAAACCAAAAAAACTGTGGCACTGTGGAATGAAGCTGACAATTTGTAAAACAAACAAAAACCTATTATGAGCTAATCACCTCTTCCAAAGCAAAGATTTGTGATGGTTTCCTCTGATTGGATTTAACTGGATCAGTGGACAGTCATGGAAGCTTCAAAGAAAATGAACGAAAAGGTTTTTATTGTAAATTTGAACCTGTTCGTTTATTAACATTGTGAGGCAGCGCGGTGGAATCAGGCTCTCGTCAATTTTTGGGCATGTAGAGTTATTGGTATCATCGTAAAGCTTGTTCACTTGTGTTTATTAGGATGAAAAAATATCCATTTATCTTGAATACAAGTCGAGATATTTGTGAATGAAGGAGGTGGGGGTCACCTGTTTTCAGAGATAAAATTAGTGAAAAAATGGCCGCCAAAGATTAGTTATTTCATTAGCTTAAGAATCCGTGGTAACTGAAAATTTACATTTTTTGAGCCTTTAATCAACGTTTTTCAGAAAAATTCACACAGAAATGTGTTCTTTCAAGGGCATGAAAGGCGTTGAACCAAAAAACAAAAATTTGATAAAAATTCACAAACCAACAGAAAAAAGCAAGTTTTTTCACTTTGATTATTTTGACGAGAGCCTGATTCCACCACGCTGCCTCACCATTGTCTACTATTTCCAAGTCTGACATTTGTATTTAAAACATGGTTGTCCTCACCAGTCTGTGTTGATTCTTGCTGATCTTACTGTGCACTAAACGGGAAACGGAAAGCAATAATGATTTGAGGATGTTTTTGCATTCACATTTGTATAATTATGGTAACACAATGTCAACAGTTCTCTGTCCTTCTCCCTGGCTCGATCTGTCTGTCTGTCTGTCTGTCTGTCTGTCTGTCTGTCTGTCTGTCTGTCTGTCT